TTCTATAACTAAACTATTATTGTATGTAAAGTAAATAATAGTGCAGCGAGGTGAGCAGAGCTGGCACCTGGTATCCCAGGCCGGCAGTGGGCTGACCGGGGCCGATGGCCAGGACCCTGGCTGGCAGGGGGCCGGTGACGGGAACCCCAGACTGGCTGCGGGCTGAGAGGGGCCGGCGGCCGATATCCCAGTTCAACAGCGGGCTGAGCTGGGCCAGTGGCCGGTACCCTGGCTGGCAAGGGACCGGCAGCCGGAACCCCAGACTGTCAGCAGGCTGAGTGGGGCCAGCGGCCAGGACCCCAGACCATCAGCGGGCTGAGTGGCTCAGCCTGCTGCCGGTCTGGGGTTCTGTCTGTCGGCTCCTGCCAGCTGGGGTCCCGACTGCTGGCCCCGCTCAGCCCGCAGCTGGCCGAGGGTTCCGTTCATCCAGGCAGTGGGCTGAGCGGGGCCGGCGGCCGGGACTCTGGCTGGCAGCAGAGTGCCACTAAAAATCAGCTCGCGTGCTGCCTTTGGCATGCATGCCATCGGTTGCCAACCCTTGGTCTAGTCACTGCAGCTCCTCTTTGATGTAACCTACTGAGGTGCTGCAACAGGTGACTTAACTCAGTGAAACCGGGCCTTCCCTACACCCCCTGAGGAGGCTGTACACTCCCTGCCCTGAATTTCCCCAACACCCCCCTCCCCCGCCAGTGGTCAACTAGTTACAACAGTGTTGCCAATTTTGTCATTGGTTGGAAATTTGAATTTAAATTGAAATATTAATACACACTTTAAAAGCATATACAATGTATGATAAAATACTTGTACTTGAAAGAGTACAATAGGTTAAAACGTATGAACGAAGACAAGCTTCCTCACACAGCTGTTGTTTTTTCTGACAGTGTTGGCGCATTGGTTTCGGCAATGTTGGCCAACCTTAGAATTTAAAATTAGGATTTATAAGCAAGGTCTGTGTGATGGGTTGGATCACAGAAACCCCCTTGGGAACTGCCAACTGATGTGCCAAGACTACTTCTGCCCCTGCTTTCCCTGCCAGCGTGGGACTCCAGCACCCTGTCTTGTTGAGCCAAACATGCCAGTCTGTGCCAACACAGACCCAGGGTCTGAACTACGTGCCCCAAAGCTGCAGACTTAACTGAAAGCAGCTTACAACAGGGTAAACTCATAAATTGTTCACCCTCTATAACACTGATAGAGAGATATGCACAGCTGTTTGCCCCCCCAGGTATTAATACATACTCTGGGTTAATTAAGAAGTAAAAAGTAATTTTATTAAATACATAAAGTAGGATTTAAGTGGTTCCAAGTAATAGCAGACAGAACAAAGTGAATTACCAAGTAAAATAAAATAAAACACACAAGTCTATGTCTAAGAAAAATGAATACAGATAAAACCTCATCCTTAGAGGAATTCCAGTAAGCTTCCTTTTACAGACCAGCCTCCTTCTAGTCTGGGTCTAGCAATCAATCACATCCCCTGTAGTTACCGTCCTTTGTTCCAGTTTCTTTCAGGTATCATTGGAGGTGGAGAGGCTATCTCTTTAGCCAGCTGAAAACCACATGGAGGGGTCTCCCAGGGGTTTAAGTAGACTGTCTCTTGTGGGTGGAAACCCCCTCGTCTCTCCTATGCAGAGTCCAGCTCCAAGATGGAGTTTTGGAGTCACATGGGCAAGTCACATGTACATTCATGACTGAGTTTCTTACCAGCCAAGCCACATTTCTGGGAAAGCTCCGATGTGGATTGGCGTCTTTGAGTTCATTGTTGGCTTAAGTGGTTCTTGATTGGGCACTTAATTTGCACATTCCTTTCTCGATAGAAATCAAGCAAGTATAGAGCCAATATTCCTAACTTCCAGTACAAAAATGATACATGCATTGTGACAGACCCAGACCAGTGGGGTACAGGAGTCTGGTAGAGGGCAAATATACTGGTCACTGGATGAGTAGTTTTCTGTTCCCTGAGTGACCAGAGCAGGGGCTGCACTAGAGTAATCAGGAACCTGCTAGAACCAGTTAAGGTAGGCAGGCTAATTAGGACACCTGGAGCCAATTAAGAAGAAACTACTAGAATCAAGTAAGGCAGGCTAATCAGGGCACCTGGGTTTTCAAAGGAGCTCACAGCAGTTAGCAGTGTACGCAGCGGGCGTGGGTTTCAATCCCTTCAGGAGCAAAAAAACATCCAGC